GACACTGGTCAGGCCACAGCTGGAGTACTGTGTCCAGTTCTGGGCACCCCACTTCAAGAGGGATGTGGACAACATTGAGAGGGTCCAGAGGAGGGCCACCTGCATGATCCGGGGACAGCAGGGCAGACCCTACAATGAGAGGCTATGGGACCTGAACCTGTTCAGGCTTCACAAGAGAAGGCTGAGGGGGGACCTTGTGGCTGTCTATAAACTCACTAGGGGGGACCAGAAGGATTTGGGGGAGACTTTGTTTCCCCTAGCGCCCCCCAGGAAAACAAGGAATAACGGCCACAAATTGTTTGAAAGTAGGTTTAGATTAGACATCCATAAGAACTACTTCACAGTTAGGACAGCTAGGATCTGGAACCAACTTCCAAGTGAAGTGGTGCTGGCTCCTACCCTGGGGGTCTTTAAGAAGCGGCTCGATGCCTACCTGGCTGGGGTAATTTGAGCCCAGTTTTCCTCCTGCCCAGGCAGGGGGTCGGACTGGAAGATCTACAAGGTCCCTTCTGACCCTACTTCTATAACTTTCTTCAGTTCCCACTATTGGTTGGCATCCAGATCTTCCCCAAGTTGCACTTGCTTCTTTGGTATGGTTCCTCAGGTTCCAGGCAGAGGGGTCCCAGTTCCCCTACTGTTTCCTCTCTCTGTGCCAGCCAGTCCTAGGATGCCTTCCATTCCTTGAGGAGGTTTACATGGTAGATTTGGTGCTCATGGCAGAGACTGGGTTTGAGCACTTCGTAATCCACTGGTCTTACTTGCTGGACCACCCCAAACAGGTCTTGCCACATTGCGAGGTGTTTACTTGCTGACGTGGGAAGTGAGACCAAGACCATATCCCCTGGATGGAATGTTTGGGTTTTCATTTTCCTGTTACACTGAGTCCCCTGCTGTTCTTGTATGACTTGCAGGTTCTGGCAAGTGATCCGCTGGGCCTTGTTGATCCAGTCTTGTAGCTCCTGTCAGTACATCTCAGCTACTAACCCTGACCCCACTGCCCTCTCCCATTCCTCTTGTATGACCTTTAACAGCCCTCTAGGACTGTGGCCATATACTAGCTGGAATGATGAGTACTCCATTGACTCGTGGGCATCTCATAGGGCAAACAGAAGCAGTGTTAATATGGTGTCCCATCTACAGGGGTCTTCCTGTGAACATCACCTGAGCATCCTTTTGATGATTCCATTTAGTTTTTTGACTAAGCCATTTGTCTGGGAATGGTAAACCGACATTTTTAAGTGGGTGATGCTGAGGGTGCTACAGAGAGCCTTCATCACACCCGACGTGAAATTGGTTCCCTGGTCAGTGAGTATTTCCTGAGGTATGCCTACACTTATAATCCATTTGAAGAGCTCTTCTGCCATGCATGTTGCCATATTTGACCTGAGTAGAACTGCCTCTGGGAACCTCGTGGCGTAATCCACTAAAACTAACACATATTGGTATCTGCCATGAGATTTCGGTGGAGTACCCACAGTGTCAAGTGCGACACGTGAGAACGGTGTCTCAGTTATGGGCATCGGTCACAAGGGTGCCCTCTGCAGCCTCCATTCCTGTGCTCTCTGGCACTCGGGGCAACCTGCTCCCCATCTCTCCACATCTTCCTGAAGATGTGGCCAAAAGAACTCCTGGACTAGCCTCGCCCAGGTCTTGGTATGTCTTAAGTGACCGTGTAGTGGGGGATTCATGGTCCAATCTCCATAGGGGTTGGAGAAATGAGGACGGAACCACTAGCTGCTGTTTTTCTGCTATATCCTCCTCACCCCTCTTGACCCGGTATAGTAGCCCCCCATTACCTCAAAACTGGAGTGACTCTGGGATGTTCCTTCTCCAGGGTCCTCTGTCCTGAGCCATCAGAGCTCTGAATCTTCCCATTGAGCCTGGTGAAATTGTTCCATGTCGATACTGTTTTAGGCCACTTCCCTCTGTGGAGTGCGGGTTTCTCCGGCCCAGCCTTCCGCCATCTAAGTCATTTTCTCTCCTCCTCAGTCATCTGTGCACATTCTAGTACCGTGTAAAATGGCTCTCATTCTTATCCTAGGATCATCTTGCAGGCCAGTGCTGGCACCAAGCTGACCCGCAGTTCCCTTTGGAACTCCATCACCTTCAAGGGAAGGTAACAGCTCTGAAACCACATCTCACTGCCCAATATGCACATCATTACCAAAGGCCCAGCTTCCTTAACTCCAGTCCATGGGACTAGGTCTGCTTAGAGTAGGGACTGGGAACATCCTATGTCTAGGGTCACCCTTACCGGCCTATCCCTGATGCATGCTGTCACAATGGGATGATCCCATCCTCCCTCATGTACGATGGAGCCAAAGTTACAGTCCATGGGGTAGAGCCATTCGCCTCTTTTCTTCCCTGGTGGCAGGTCCCATTGGGGCACAGAGGCCTCACCCATGACCCCACTCATTCCCCAAGCTGGCAGGTGAAAGGCTTCCTCACTGGTCCAGGGTTGGTGTCTCCTTACCCCCATCTGAGTGTCCTCCTCCAGGTCCCAGAGGAATTGCTCTAACAGGACCTGGTCTATGACCCCCTCCTGGTCAAACCGGCCTGTGGGGAACCATTTATTAAGCACGTCCTGCAGGTATTGCAGCAGACTGAGGCTGCTTGACTTCTTTTGACTTTTGGGCTCCAAATGGCTATCTATGGCTCTGGGGAAATTTCGAGCCTGTATAGGATTGCAGCCTTCATGGTGTCATAATTTCAGGCATCCTCCCTGGACAGGGCCCAATAGGCTGCTTGAGCTTGGTCTATCACCATAGCCCCCAACTGCTGAGCCCACTGGGTACAATCCAAAAAAGTCTG